GCCGAACACCTTCAAATCCCAGCAACCAAAGGACTTGAGCCAGCTCGGACGGGGGTCAAAGCGTGCAGGATTGTAACTCTATATGATGAAAACATATATTGTTTAGACAAGATGATGAACATTTTTCAAAATGTAAAATTTAATCTTTAATCATTTCTTATTTACAAACTAATCCTAACAATGAGGTAATATATCCGCAGCCCCATTGGTTTTAGTCTCATAACTCAAACAAATTCCATGCACAATGCTAATTAGTTTGTATTAGAGCAAAAATGTTCTTAATAAACAGAAATGTGAAACGACTTCAGGGTTTCTTTTTGATTATGCAATAGCCATGTAAAACAATCTTTAGGAGAAGCATTTTACTGTACATATACCTACTGGGCTGTCTGCACCAGAAGAGATGGGCTTGCGGCTGAACATTGCCCTAGGAGAGATGAATCCTGTCCCTGCTGCACTGTAATTTCTGATGTTATTTTCAGCAAGTCTATGCATCATCAAGAATACTTTCACTCGCTTTCTCTGATTTTACAAGAATACTTCTCTGTGTGTGTATAGAGCAAGAGCTAGAAGAGGGCTCCGGTCTCAGGTGGAGTCTCTAAATTGCATTTTGATGGGAACGTGTCAGGTTAAAAAAAAATTGTATAGCGGGGAAGTCACAGGCTTTGACCACTGGACTGCCACTGAATAAAAGGCTGAGCTGAGGTCACATCAGAGGCTTGTGTGCCACCCACTATGACCAGAGGTGACACAGCAACCTTTATTTGCAAGGCTATTAAAATAAAAATACACAATGCTTCAATTCTTGGTTGGTTTTAGAAATTGGATTTTGACAAGAAATTAAAAATGTTACATAACCATGTAATTAAAGCACTGTTGTGACAGATCATTTGCTTAGAATGAGCCATTTTGGTGAAGAACATCCTGGATATTCACACTGCATACAGGATTCTCTTGACCAGTAAAAGGATGTAAACAGTGGTCTGGTTTTGCAGCTTATCTGTTTAGGAACATATTTATGCTCTGACACAAATTTTAAAGGAGCCAGAAGCAAGAGAATCCATCCTTGATGGTGTATACCAAATGGAGAGCAACACGGTAAAAATGCCCAACACCACAAATTTTGCAAGCTACCAATATTTACCATTCGTCACAGAGTACTGCATGCTCATGCAAGCATGCCACAATGAGAAAGCAACATCTCTATAAGGGTAAAACAAACAGCATTCAGAATTTCTGAAAGCATTCTTCCGAAATTATTGCACTAGATTAGATTGCCTCATCAACAGGGCCAGAGGCCATTTACGCTATTTTTTTTTTTTGTTTAATGTAACAGATGAAAGGATTACAGAAAGTTTTCTGGGGCCAAATTTGGAATTAATGATGGGAAAATTCTTTTGCTAATCCCCCATCTCTCCCACTGCTAGCAGACTCCTGAGGCTGGAAAAAAACAATGTCTCCTGGTACCCTGCTTCTACTTTGCTCATGAGTGCAAAATACTGTGCTCAGGAGGTTTGAAAAGGTACCTTGGCTTTTGAGCACAGCTATACTGAAAATCTCAGTAAAGAATGACATGAGACTCCAATTAAAACTTGGCCGCATCGCAACCAAATCAAAGGATGGGACTCATCTGCTCAGGGTAGACGTCTGCCAAGCAACCACCTCCATCCGAGCCCAGGCTCGCTTTATGATTAGTGGGGAAAAATTGACTTTTCCAGGAGATGCTGTGCCCTGCTCCGAGGTGGATGCATCAGGCAGGCTGGAGGGATCACACCTGAGCAATCCCTGCTGGCGTCTGCTGACTATGGAAGAAGCTCGGAGAGATCAGCCGAAAGACGGGCGCTGCAGGGACGTGGAGCTGAGCAGGGCTGCCGTCACCCAGCCTGCCCGGGGAGAAGGGCCGATTCCTCTGGGGGGCACAGCAACCACCACAGCCAGGCCCGCCTGCAGGATGCCCTCTTACAAACCTTGAACATTGCTCCTCAGCACTGCCTGTCAGCCCACCAAGCGAAGTAAAAATAGATACTGCCAAGTAACTACCCTGCTAAAAGCGAAGTTTAATCATTTTTCAGTCATTTAACAAACACAAAAGCATTTACACATACCAACTCTACTCGGGAAGTAAACTTTGCATAATTAATTGGCCTCCAATATTGTGCATCTGCAAATGCACAGCTACACCAACTGGCACTCAAGGGAAAATGCCTCGGGCCACCTCCAAGAGCTGGGAAGTGCAAATATCTCAACTGAAGAGAGAGACTGAGCTGCTAGGGAAGGAAAAAAGCAGGCCTGGACAACAAGCTGTCTGGAGAATAAGTACAGCTACCCAGCTCCCTAAAGTCTGTTTCATTAACTATCAGACATTATCAGCTACTTCTGAATTAAGCCATGTTTTATCATAACACCAGAACAAGCTAAAGGCACCTAATTACTTGCAGAAGGTGGGAATGTCCAAAGCAGGTCAGGGAAGTGGAAGTCAAGCTTCCCACAGAAACGGGCAATTTGATGGAAAATTTGACTCGAATAAAAAGAAATATTGAAGCAGCACTTAATGAAGATGAACTTCCCCTGCCTCCCCCCAGCACAGCCAATGCCATTATCACTCAGCACTAGGAAGGAAAGAGATTCCAAGTAAGGGGAAATTACAGGGCAGTTATCCTCATCAACCTGACTGTGTAACAGTGACACGAGATTGGCAGAGTGCCCGAGAAGCCTGTAGATAGTTAAGCACAGGGCATAAAATGAGATGTGTAAAGGGAAAGTAGGCCCTGGAAACTATTGCTAGGGATCTCAGCTTTTCCAGTGTGCCAGTGGCAATGAGATGCCCAACTGTATCCCCCTGTATCTGCCAAAAAAACCCCAAAAAACAAAAAACAAAAAAAACCCCCACCACACCAGAAAAAAAGAGGGGAAGATTGCATAAGGTCAGATAAAACATGGGAGTTCCACTTGCTGGGTGGTGATGCAGCCAAGTTCTGAGTGATCTGGTCCCCGCCTGTAAGAGTCAGGCTATTCCCCACCTTTTTCAGACTGCTTAAAGATCTACAAGCAACGCACTCTACATGGCTGGCAGGTTTTATTCCAGTGATTCTTCTAGGAGAGTGAGAAGCTGAGGCAACTCGGCGTTTTCTCTTCGCCCAGGATCTGGCCCGCAGTCAGCAGCAGGCAATCCTCACCACTTTTTACTCTGAGCACTCAGAAAAGTTTCCATCTTTTGAGAAGGAGTTGCCTGTAGCTCAAAAAAATGCTCACATGAAACCATGAAGAATTTTGCTCTAGGCTTTGTAACTCTCTGTAAGACAAGCAAGTCAAACAAAACTGGCATTATTTGCATTATTTGTAAAAAGGAGGGTTAAATGCATTCCCAATTTCACAGATGTTTCAAGGCTTCATTGCTAGAAAAAGTCTGGCATGGTCACGCAGAAATGCGACAGTACAATACACATTACCTTCAGGGTCCCAAAACCATAAGGATTTGGGGAACCTTCCCCTACCCCCAACAGAGGGAAATGGAACACAGATCATATATTTTCCTGATGAGAAACCAAGGTTTCACAGAGAATTAGTAAACATGCTCATGCTTCCCACCTGTTTTCTATTTAGAGAAAAAAAAGCAATTAATGACTTTTTAAACAACGGTTAATAAAAGAAACTTAGGAAACTGAGATTCCTAATTGAAAATGTCTTCAGTCACATGAGGCAGAGGATCAAAATATGACAAGACCACTAAGTATAGTTTCTCCCAGCTGCGCAAGCCATTTCTTAACAATCTTAAGATTAATAAACAAAGACACATTCTAGACATTTCATATCCCTCCTGGATTTAGCCATGTATGCAAGGCAAACACCAGCAAGCTGTCCTCTTACTTTGCTCTCAGTTAGAATGGAGCTCCCAAGCAGTACTTCACGTTACGCGATTGTTAATACGGGAATGCCCTCGCTCTGAGCAGACATGCAGAGAAATACAAGGGGAAAAAACCCATAGCTCCAGGAAGAAGCCGATTTCAGCATATAATTTATTAGCAAGTAAAAGGACATTTACCTTCTCAGTGGTTAAGTACAACACAACCCAAGGATAAACCATATGGCTCAAGTCTTTGTGCAAAGGAGAAAGCTGGCAGGGCTCCACGGCTCTAATTGAACCATTACCATATTGTAAGAAATGAAAAAGTCAGGAAGACTGGAGGATCTGCTCTCCTAGGGACAGTTTCTGTCATGCGAACAATTAAGTGAGTAACAAAGCATATTTAACAGGAGAGCAATTCCACCATTTGGATACTGGCTCATTTTAAAGAAAATAGGTACTCTTCTGGTTCAACACTGCACTTAATGCGATCCTGCGTTCAATGCAGTGAAACCTTCGAAATCCAAATCATTCATAGCAAACAATACAACACTTCTCCTTTAATTGCTGGCTCAAGACTTTTTCATTTAGTTAATAAGGAAAGACATAGAATAAGAATGTTCAAGTGAAACCCAGCAACACATAAAAGCTTACCATAAAAACTGTCATAAAACTGAAAAATGCAAGAGATCAAGTACAAAATTATTTTTGTATCTTGTACAAATAATGACCAATCTTCTCTTTCAAAAGGCAGCCTTGATAAAAATATACCAAGTGTTATACATTGTACATGCACAACAGGGTATGTAGTGAAGCACAATAAAACAACCAGGTCATAATCAGATAGAACCTGTAGCAGCTGTTCGTACATAAGGCTTTACAGTATTGTCTTGCTACTTTGTGGGCAAAAAGCAACGCAGTTGTAGGAGGAGTGAAAAAAAATAATCACAATCTTACATAAAAATGAGGCGAAATGAGTCTCCATGAATCTTGTTCTTACCATTCTGTTCATCCAGCTCATTCCCAATCTCCTGCCCCATTTGCTTTTGCCGGGATATGATTGAAGAAAGAGCATCAAGTCCAGCGTCTTGCTCTGCACCAGAAAAATATATAAAATTACATGAAGAAAATTGCTGATATGCCAGGCTATGTACTGTAAGAGATGTAGGAGTGAAAAAGAGATCTACTTTGTGTTTAAAGAGTTAAAATGTGTTAAGAAAAATACACCAACAGAACATGAAAATGAACCCTTATGGCAACAGCACTCAAAATAATGTGAATGATGGGTAATTAATTTGTCTGCTCTGGCTGGGACATTTAGCTGAAGGCGCCCCCAAAAAAAACCAACCCCCCAAAATCCAAGAATTAACATTCAGCTGTTTCTCAATCATAAATGCAGGATATTTTCTGGCACACACATAGAGATCCCTGATTAGTCTTTTTAAATTTTCCAAGAAACTTTTAACATGAATAAAAGACAAACAGGTGACGCAAACACCAAAGAATTCAAGTAGATTTTTAAAGCTGCAAGAGGATACAGAGCGCATGGAAGAGAGCCTGAGACAGAGGGGACACAGCGGGGGCAGCTGAAGTTTGACATGTTCGCATCAGCTCTGCAGACACTCCTTTACTAAGATCCATATCACCTCTGCTATTCCAGTTTGCAGGTACCACACAGTCCTTAGTAAGCACCTTAACCAAAATGTGGGGCTCTCTTTGCCCAAAGTCATCAAGAAGTGGAACAAGAATTGATGCTGGAGGCTGGGCTGCCAGTGGTCTGACAAACTGCAAAGCAGTGATGCTGCACAGAGCGTGACTGCCAGCCAGCCACAGTTCAGGAGCCAAAAGTGGTACAGGATGGCCAGAAGCCCCTTCCCTTCAACAGGATGAAGGTCTGCCCCCCAAAAGCTCTTTCAGCCTCCCCAAGGGATACCTATGGCATCATCAAAAACTTGATGGAGCTTGAGGTTGCTCCTGGACCGTCCAAACAGAGTTCATGCCATCTCCTGAACTGTAGCTATAACTGGTGTTTCACGGGCAGACTGAAGCAGGCCTTATCTGGAGACTGATTTCATTTGATCACTTCCAACACTTTAATTGCATAGAAATTACCTCATTAACCACCTGATGTCCTCAGGGTGAGGTTCTCCAACACTTCCAAAGTTAGAGATTCCTTACACACACTGAGGGCCAAAATCTAAAGACCCTTTCCAGGTTAGTTAATTCTTACCTTGTTCCAATTCAACAATACCCCTAATACACCCCAGCCTGAGGCACAGCAAACTCTGTGCAATTAACCAGATCTCCACTGTAAACCAAAACCATGAATATGGTTGAAATCGGGGATGCCCTGTACGTTCTTTGAAAATTTGATTTAAGAAGAATATTTAAGAAGTTAAGAATATTGCAAGCACAATACTTCTCCTGCAAATACATAAACCAACCACCTGGAATTATTATGTTTGACATCTCCAGATAATGAAACTTCAGCACAGGTTATTGTATTGACTTTCTAATAAGTGCCCTTCTCAGACTACAAGCGATGCTTACAAAAAACAGAGAGACTCTTGTACCTTCTATGATCCTTCGCTGCTGCTGCCTGAGATCATCAAAGCCAAGCCCTCTGGTTTCCTCAGATTCTTCCAAGAGCCACGGGTTGGTTATGCCTCGTTTGACCCCTCCCGTCATTAGGCTAGATCTGAAAATAACTTCAGTAAATAATTTTCATCACAAAACCCCCTCATAGTGTAATTTGTGCTTGCAAGACTGTCTGGCAGAGTCAGAAGTGTACGTATGTGTTGCACTCCATGTGCTTCTCTGCAATCATAGAAGGAATTAGCCAAAAAGAATCCAACAATCTCCAATAACAAATACATCTCACAGGCTCCATAATGCTGCCTAGAAGAGGTAAAGCAGGGAGAGAATTAATTCTGCAGTAAACAATTAAACTACATGGTGAAACGTATACCATACACTGTATAATATATTCACATTAAATATTGCTTGCATGTAGAACACATGGCATTCAAAACAGCTACAAAAACATCAGGGTTACTGGGAATACACATATTATTCATGTATTTGCTATGTGGTCAAAACACAAACTTACAAAAAAACCTGAGACGCAGTCTGAAAGCTTCCAACAGTGAAAGGATCAACACATTAATACAGACGCGAATCAGATGAGATGATTCATTTTCTGCAATCCTGATCAAACCTAAAGGGGAACATTTCTGCATTTCAAAAACTGGAACGGGAAGTCATGCAGTTACTCTCCTGCATTTCCTAGGCTGGCATCAGCGTGGACAAGCCGCCAGGCACACACATTCTTAGATGAAAGAGTAATCAACTTACAGGTTTTCTTTTAAAAAAGAATTACGACCTGAGCTTGTTCGCGTTATAGACACTTCCCTGGTTATGGAAAACAAGTTTTTCACGTCCAGGGCATGTAAATTCAAGTAGCAAAATGAAATGCCACTTAAATATTTTTCTCAATACCAGATTTCTGGTTTCTGCCTTTCAGCTTTTCTGTAGGTAGATTATATGACAGACTGTGAGCCACTTAAACCCCAAACTGCAACTCACATTTGGGGTAAGAGTTGTTGTAAGATCAGTCCCTCGAGCAGCACAGAAGTGAGAGGTTTGGCTTTCTGCTTTGTTTCTTTTTAACTCTGTATTTTATTCTCATTTTACCTTTGCCCTGCTCTTTCCCAAAGCACTCCCACAAAGAGAACAAGAACAGAGAGCATTTTTAGGATCTTTCAAATTCTCAAAATTTTTTAATTATGCTAAGACATCTTTTCTTAAATTTTTTAAAGTTTTTTTTAATTGAGTCCAGGTCCCTTCTCTGCGAGATATACTGCAACGCTGTATGGTATGCACATATGCTCAAATTCATTTTGTGGTCAAACCCCTGTATCTAAAATAGTCAACTCTGCACAAGTCTCAGTGGAGCTCGGAGGAACCCGATCAGCAGGGCCCGGGAACCCCGATCGGCAGGGCCCAAGAACTCCTCCAAGCCGATCAGGGCTCAGCTCCATGGAGGGGCGACTGAAGTCTTACAGCAAGGGTACTCAAGCAAAACCCAGAACTTGTGTCTAGGCGTTCCTTGAGGAATTATGGTGAACTAGAGACATCTCCTGGCCGTGAGATGAATCAACACTACTGAAAAATAATTCATTTCCACCACATGAGTTTTGGGCCATCCATAAATTCAATCCCCAAAAAACCACCCTTGTCCGTGTGCAGCACACTAGGCACTTTGTATAGCATTCATGGCCAGTTAAATTCGAGAACACTTAACTTCTTCTGACTTAAAATTTTATCATATTCATTCGACTTCATCTCAAGGGAACAAATTTGTCAGAATAAAAAAAATAATTAAAAAAATAATTTTTTCTGCTACAGGACTAAAAAGTGCTTATTGCAAATCACAACATCTCACTTAAGGATGCTGATGATGCTGTAACACCTCTCCAGAGCAGAACCCTGACTGCCCCACCGGCCATCGTGGGCAGAGGAGCTGGGATTCTTCTGTATGCCGGTCCTTTGCTCTTCCATTAAAACTTACACCTATTTATCAAGGTAGGGAATCAGGCTTGATTAGACAAAGATAGACACTTTCTTCATCGCTTTGGGGAATTAAACATGCTCTTCTATTCTCTAGCCCCACAACAACTGCTACCAGCTTCACAAATCGAAATGCAATGGAAGCATTACACTTCTGAAGACACAAAGATCATTACAGTTCCCCAAGTTCAGCAGTTCAATTAGCAAGCACACAAAATCTAGGGTTAACAATGTCTGACAAAATTACTTAAATAAAGCAATTGGAACATAAAGCTCTCTGCTTGCCAAAAAGAGCACAACTATTTCTGCCTGTTAAAAAAAGTCAAGGCAAGCAAATTTGAAATAATTTGCACTGCTTGCTCTCTCCCTCCCCCCTAATAATCTGCCCTATTCTTGTAGGTTGGGTCATGACAACTGGTCCACTCGTTACAATAATCTTTTTGACATGTTTGGTAACTACCTTCCCACACAACACAGCATAACTTCCTACTTCCTCTGATCTTACCATGTTTCGCTTTGGTGGTGTGAAGATTAAAGCTTATCCAATTAGCCACCCACTGCCTCCGCCAAGTTAATCACGTAAATCTTTGAAACCGTCACAGAGCAGTGGAGTGTGTGGATAGCTTTTGATTATAGGAGCAGATTTAACTAATTACGAGGCTTAGCAATGCACCCAAGTATAAAAGATGATGGGGTTTAAACTCTGGGAGCTATGTCACTGCTTAACAAGGAAGGGCTTATCTTCCAGATGGCATTGTTTCACTGATAATTCTTATAAAACTTCCCAAGTAACTTAGATTAGTCAACCAGCACTTACTTTAGACCAAGGCCACACATCAAGGCTTAGGGTTTTAGAAGACTGATCAGCAAGACTGAGTTTTAAACAAAACCTGGGTCATATGACAATTGGGTGGATGATCACTTGAAGATTCCCTTAATGATACAGTTGTACAGTGGGGCTCTTTGAAGTGCCCAGAGCACCTCAGCTTGGCTTCACAGGTCAACCTCCAAGGCAATGGCGAAGAAGCAGGGGTATTCTCTCACTTACAATTTAATTGCTCACACTGGCAGGCTGTGTATTTTAGGAAGCTCCAAGCTAGTAAATAAAACAAGTATAATTTTAACATACAAACGTTCTCTCCCCCTCCAAAAAAAACCAACCCCAAACAGGTAGCACAAGCACTTCCAAATCCACCATATGAGCACAAGCACTTCCAAATCCCCCCCAGGTACCTTCCCAGGTAGAGACTCCCCCACGAGAACAGCTCCCAATAGGAAGCCTACAGCATTCCCAGCAGCTGGCAGAGGACCTCCCCGGCTCCACCAGCACAAGAACCAAAAGCAGCAGATCTCACATTCAAGGAGATGCCATGTTGCCCTTGACACCACTTACCTGCACTTTGGTTTACTGGTCCCACTGGCTCATCAACTGGAAGCTGCACAAGCCGGGTGCCACATGGGATGCCAGAGAGCCGATTTGCAGAACACAACTACTTGGCAACACCTTCAGGATCACTAATTCCTGCCCACTACAGAGGCACAGCAGCTTCGCACTGCAGAACAAGCGGCTCCCAAGCACCTTGTGCTCGTACAGGACAGTGGGCGCCCGCAGAGGAGCAGCACAAAGCAAGCAACAAGCTGGAAGTGTGTTTGCACAGTTGTACAGGCACACTCATCTTGGAAAAACATGTCCACTTGAAATGCTGAGCATCTGGGTGGTGGAGTTGTGGCAAGAAATGACACAGAGGAGATGTCCCGACACCAGGGTAGGCATCCCCAGGGAAGGTTACCTTTGTAACGTTTGTGCTCACATTTTATTTCACAGCAGTCTCACTTTCCTATGCAAACCCTCAAAATTTACACCGCAATAAACATTTAAATCAGAGATTAATCTTGCTATCAAATATTACCATCTTCTTTCTACATCATCCCTTACTTTCCATGCAAGATTGGACATAGCACAATACTAAATATATTAGAAACCAGCTTATACAGTCCTCATCAAAACAGTCTTGCCTCTACAGCCCACTTGCACTCCTTGGGAACAAGGATTATAAAAAAAAAAAAAGGATAATTCTTTCAGAGGGCTACTTTCGGGACAAGACGCAGCACTAAGTTCATGCCTGAAGCTTTGCGCGGCAGCTGAAGTCCACCTGACCACAAGCAACATGAACAGGAGCCTCCAAGCAGGTCTCAGCTTGGCATTTGTTCTCACTGCAGACCCAGCATGCCCACGCCAGAACAACACCATGACACTGCTGGTACAGAAACAACCTTGGGCAGGAAACTTCTGGTAGTTTTGAGCACTTAGGAGGCAAAACATCACACACAGAGCTCAGCCTTGAAAGCTGCCCTCTGACTGACATTTTTTCCTGAGGCTAATGAGCGAGAAGCTTTAATAACAGGAATGCAGGCCCAACCTGAAGTACAATGCAGGGTTTGCCTTACTTTTCTCTGTCGTGTTTAAATACCCGGTCTTTGCTATTCCTTGTAAGCACAAGTATATGCGGTTTTCTGATAACCACAGTCCTGACTCCAGCAAGGTCCTTAAGGAAATTCTGGTATGCCCTGCAGGAAGAGAGATGCAAATGCCACTTGGACACAGAGCAAACCAAGGAGACTTTACTATCTTAGAGGAATCTTCCTTAAATTTGGAGTAGGCACAACAACCCTCAGGTTTTAACAGGCGCTGCACGTGCTGCTCACATGAGGATGCACTCACATCCGCATGTGCTGTAACCTACAGAGTGCTTTCAGGTGACAAGTGGTATGACAGGAGATGACCCAAGTACAGAGACATGAGGAGGGTGTTGAGACAATTACAACTATGTTGGCTCATGACTACATGACCAAAGATACGTCAATCCTGGAAAATCCTGCCCCAGCCCCTAGATTTGATCTTAACGACTCAAGCCTCAGACATTCTTGAGCATGGGTTTCCGGATGGACAATTCACCCCTTCTTCCACCCTTTCCATCAATCTCCTAGACACAAGGCTAATCACATCCGACCTACAGCCAGGAGGGCTTCTAACAGTAACCGTAACCAGCAGGGAGGAAAGAAAGCAGGATGGAGCTTTAAAGGCGCCTAAGCAACTATTTTTAATCTTATTTTCCAAAGAGCATTTGCTCCTCCATAAACAACAGCCAGATTCACAAAAGCATTTAAGCACCTAATGGCTAACTGGGGAACGTTGGGCACTCGATGTCTATTTGGCATTAGGCAAAATGCCTGTTTGGAATAAGGCCTAAATGCCCTACACCTGACAAAGTATTTAAGCAGAAAAGATGGTAACACACATTAAAAAAAAATGGACTCCTCTAAAAGTTACCTAGGGTAGCTATTACTTAAGGCATTTTGTGTCCCATAGCTATCAAAAGTTTTCTATATTTTTTTAAAAATTCAAAGAGAAACCAAGAAAGGCACATTAAAGTACAATTTATTTATTCACTGGTGATCAACATACACTTCTACATACTGACTACCTGGTCAGGCAAGAGGAGGAATATTCTTGACTCCTTTGCCTCCACAAATGTTTAAAGACTCACAAAATTTGGTATTGTGATTTCCAGAGACTCAACCTTTTCAGTTGCTTTTTTCACTTCTTGCTTTCAAACAGTGTGAAACCATGGGGATTTCTACTCCACTAAAGTCTCTGCTCGAATAACCTGCACAGATCTCTTTCCAAGGAGAAAAGAGGGGAGAAGATACTGAAATTGCCTACTGAAAACCAATTAAAGAAAATTTAACTGACCCTGCTCAAGCAGAGTCACATAAACAGCACAAACTTTCCCCTGGAAAATTCCAGTTGCATCTTAATTAAGGCCGACAACGCCGGAAGGTAAACTAATGCTATACCAAAGTACCGTAGTGTCCTGCCCTGTGTTCTGGCCCAAGTTGTCAGTTAGCATAAATACTAAGAGCATTAAGGCCACTGTACTTCACAATCAGAAACAGCTTTACAGCAGTTTTCAAAGGATGTAAAACTCACTGAATGGTGACCAAATATAAACGAAGATTAATTCTAGTAAAACCTTCACAGTTACAGGCCATGGGGACAATAAATATGTGATCAGTGGTGCAAGAAGGTTAATGAAAGCAATGACTGCTGGAAAGAAAAAGACTTCTGAAAATGTGTGCTGTCACATCGGAGATGGATTAGATACAGAAAACCAATACAAAACCAGAGAAAAGTGTCACTGCTAGAACTTAATCAAACAACATGTGCTGATTTTTCTAATGCAGTGGGAAAAGCTGACTTTCAGACTTCAGACACGCTGAAGAGTGGCCTTTGCCACCTACTGAAATCCAAAGCAGGCCGTTCCAGAACTCTGCAACAATTTCAGAGAAACCCAGTGCTGCAAATAGCGGGTTAACCCTACCAGAAGCTGTCGTCTTCTGTCCCTCGAAGCAGTACGGCAGGCAGGGGAGACAAGCTCCTTCCCTACTGACCTACATGCAGGTCAGGCTCAGGCAAGAGAGAAAAGTTTGACCTATTGGCACAAGATTCAGGACCCAGCTACGTCTCTGCCCGCACGACTGAAAACAAGACCTACACGGGAGAATATGGAAGGGGTGTGAACTCACCAGGCAGAGAATAGTTGGCATAGTTTTATCCATTTTTAATTAAAGAAGTTAAAAGAACACTAAAAAACTTCAAGCCTTGCAACACTAACAAATAAATATTGTCTGTGATGTTATCTTGTGCTGGAAAATACTGGTTTCCCTGATCATTTCTAACAGAGCTTGAAATTATCACAGGATTCTGACATTTTCCTCCCGTCTGCCTCAACACCGTCACGTCAGGGCAGGCCTAGGTCGAATCCTTGCCCTTTGCCTGTTCCACAGCAGAAACATGCCAACGCTGCCCTGCCACAGCAGGGACGGCCATGCTTCAGAAGGCCAGAGCAGTTGATGGGCTGCTCAGAGTAGGCGATGCACCAGAGGTTTCTCACATCATCAGTCCCCGTAGACATTTTGCCTCCTTGCTGTTTTACATGTTTCAGTTGACTCAGCAATAGATGTAAAAGCCAGCATCAATCCATTAACTGGATTTGCACCACACTCTGGAGAATGCTAAACCTAAAACAATTTAATGGATTCGATCAAAGTCTACAGTTTTACCATCCGCAGCAGCTGTTGCGTTGACAACATCTGGTTACGCAAAGACAGCAAACCACACAGTGAAACACATTGCTTGGGCTGTACCAAACACTGCACCAGAGAACAAATGCAAGCAGAAACCAACCTCTACACCATGTGACTGAACAGGCCCTTACAAAGCACAAGTACACACATGAATACAGGAAACTATCACTTTGAGTATCTCTTATACCTGCTCCAAGATACACAAATTAAACAAGCTAGAAAAAAAAATATCTTATTTTCAACAGTAGGACACAACGCTCACATTGGTACCAATTTTTTTACTACCCAATAGCTTGAAAACAATCTCTGCCTTTTTCAAGAGCACGACGCTGAAAAGGGGCTGGTTCTCAAAAAACATCAACAGAAAGGCTTACATATTTCTGCAAATGTGTGAGGACTTAAGCATATATAAAGCTTTGTCCTGTTCTAAGACTGAGGGCTGACATATTGCAGAAAGGTGAGAAACTTCTTCAGGAGGGCTCTAACACTCCCCTTCCCACAAGTAACCTTACACGTGCACGTATAAAATGCAACACTGTATTTGCTACAGAAAAGGTCCCATGAATATAGTGCATTAGAAAATGCCTGCCACCTAGAAGCACAAGCTAAAAATTTTTTAAAAATACATATTTCTATCGCATGTCCATATTGGAGAAGTACAGCTGCTCTCCTCAGAGGCAGATCTCACTACACCACGGGTCAGCAGGGGCGAGGAAGCTCTGTCCAGCCACATCGTATGACCCAGGCCACACATGCAGCATCGTACAGGGCTTACAGGGCAGAGCACAGCCCCTCGTATAACCCACAGCCAGCCTAAGTAGTCTGCACCTGCTGCATTAAAACTTCCCACTCATCAACAAAATAGGTGCCTGGGCCCAACAGCCGTGATTTCATATACAACTTCAGAGAACGTAGGTTCACTTTTTTAAAAATATGAGGCTTTAAAACAAAGTTGTACCAATTACAGCCTACACTCAAGAGTAATTTCATTGACCATGGAAATATAGAGAGCTCTGCAAACTCAGAGACTGCAGCTCCACTTCTCTTCTGCACCATTTTGCAGGACAGAAGATTACCCAAGTCTGCAAAGGAAAAATTAGGAAGAGTAAATGCACTGGAATTTAGCCAAAATGGTGACTCCCACACAGAACAGTATTTAGCGACCTGCATGGGCTCAGGAGACAGGTAAGTCACGCTCTTTGATAGTGGGGCTTTTCATTTTTTGCAGGAATGTTGGCTCAGGGCTAATAGAGATCAAAGCATATCACCCAATGAATCACGAGGATGCTTCTGAAGTCATCCCTCAACACATGCCACTTCAATTCTGACATACCACAGCCCTAATCCTGTGCTAAGGTGGTAAATCTACTACCCATTTTCTTGCAGAGGAAGGAGGAAATAGCAGCTTCATTTTGTTGTCTGTAGCCTGGCTACCAGCTTAGGAAGAAGACTTAGATATTGCTACCCCTTTTCTCCTCTCTCTCCTCCAGCAATTAATTCATTGGGCAGTTTAAATGCATTGAAAGGAAAAGGAGTCTCAAAGAATGACCAACTTTTCCAACACAGATGAAGAGGCAGAAGAGGCAGAGCCATTAGAGCATCCATAGCATGCGCAGAGCTCCAGACTGAAGCCAGGATACTCTCTCTTGACCAGTGGGGATGTCACTGAAAACACATGGGGAAAGAGAAGGAACAAGGAGAAAAGGGAGGGTGGGTTATGCTATTTGAATTGGGAAAGAGAAGTGTAACAAATTCACAGGAACCTCTCAATTCTGCTGCTCAGCAAGCATTTTTAACTCAGTATTTTAGTGAGACGTGAAAGCTCCTGGATGTAAAGTAGCTGCAAGGAGCTCCTCAGCAAGACACATGCTCATGCGGAAACTGAAGCTACCAAAAACCCTGAAGTACAAGGGGAGCAAATAGCAAATACTCCCAAATAGAATTCCATAGGCAAAAGCTGGTGCTGACCTAACTAAAAAAGGACAAAATTCAAAAGGCCATTAACAAAGCACTAGAAACAGCCCGTCCTTCCTTATTCCACTGCAGGCTGAGTTTGCAGGACTGCAACACCTGCAGTAAAAGATGTCTTTTTATATAATTATACACCAAGGCAATGCCTAACATGGTTTGTATGTTATGGACAAAGCACCTGTGTGACTCCCACCAAACCCAACTTATACACTGCTAATAATTTATTTACTCGGGCAAGAGGCCTGAACTTCACACATCAATAAAAAGCTCTGCCTTTCTTCCTGATCAGAGACCACCAGGGATGGATTCTCTCTAAGAACCTGTTAGAGATGACAGGTACAACTCCTTCCACTAGAAAGGGGCTATATAAGCACTGCATAAGGAGAGCACAGTTTGCAGTCTATTAACCATATTTTTCCCAGCTGTGAAGGACATACCAAAATGGAAATGAAAATGTGAAAGCCCCCGCTGACTGCAGCACAATATGACCACCAGGGACCATTTGAAGCTCAAGCCTCACCCTGACTGTTTTGTTTCCAACAATTCATGTAGACCTTGTACGGTGGCACCTGTCAGTCCCATTCAGTGGCTGACTCTCCCAGATCACTTAGTATTACCTCTTCCAAGAAACTCTCCAGACCCTCTCAGTGGCTGACTCTCCCAGATCACTTAGTCAGTATTACCTCTTCCAAGAAACTCTCCAGACCCTCATCCTCCCCAGCTCTGTAGACATATGATACTGTCACTAAAACACCCACATGATTTCTAAGCAAATGAAACCGTAGTTTGCTAGATGTAGAGGTAAATTAGTTCAACAAAATGCATTTAACATTATCTTCAGATGTATTCAAAGCACAAATCACATTGTTCGTTGGAGGTGACAATGCCATACCTTATCACATCTGGTTCTGTGCCTTCATTCTTGTAAGATGCCTGAAGTTGTTTCTGCCGTGTGAGAAGGTCATCCACCAAATTCTGCCTCCTGTCTCCCTCCAGCTGTGTGCTGATGAGGCTTCATTAAGGACCAAACTTCAAAACACTGAAAAACTTTAGTTTTATTATGTAAAATAATACCTGTCATACATTCTTAAAATAAATCAGATCTCCTGATGATCAAAATTAACTAGAGTAACCATTTTAATCCAAGAAAAGGCTGTAACAGCTAAGGGAAGGATAGGTCACATGTTTCTGAATAAAATCTGGTGTTATTCTAAATGTGTTTACACTTACATACCTCAAAAAAAAAGTTTCATACAGTGACCACAGAGTGATCTCCAGGTCATCATCTCTAATAAGACAACCAGAAGGCTATTTACCACCAAATCAACATAAGCATTAAGAGTAGCATTTCCCCCCTCCATAATCCAACATAATTCTTCATTTGTCACTAAAAAGTCCCACACAGTTGATCCCTACTATAATATTGACAGTGTACAATAGTACTGCACGGGGTAAGCTTGGGGAAGGATGAGTCTTCTTATAAAGAGCTCCAACTTACACTGTTACAATGGAAATGGGGCAGGCCCAAACAGAATAGAGTTTTTAAAATCAGCAGGGTACTTCACATCTTATTTCACTGGGGGCTCGTAACACAGACTAGGTGAGTAGCTCTCAGCCAAGCAATCAGCAAACAACCAAAAATTTACTTTGAGCATCTGTTTCCCTTTGCCATTCATCAGCAGAACACCCCAACAGCCACCAATGCAGCAGAAAAACAATTCATGCAGTATCTCTGAAGACAAGGTGCCCTGAGGTGCCACAGCTTTGGCAGGGGACATGTGTTTGCTTTTTCTTTTTTTTAATTAAGCTGAGTGACATTTTGAAGGACTACTAACTCTCTTCCAAGTACTGTTCAGTAGATTATGCAATAGCTGAACTGAATTGTGTATGTTTTCTGCCGCAGCAGTAGAATTCGCCTGCTCTGAAGCACTTACTGGACACGAAAGTTTTATCCCTGGCCATCAGCACAGCCCTCAGGGGCCCATGCTTAGGAGGGATTTCTGCTATAGTCAGCTTGAAGTTAAACATTCATTCATTAAATCAGATTGCCGCTGGACATCTTCAGGGAGACAGACATACTATTTTGACTCCTTAAGCCTGCCTATCCCAGCATATGGAAAGAGCAGCAAACGCAAGCCAGGCCACAGGGTGATGCTCCTAGAAATTGAGGCTTTCTTCTTTCTAAGGCATATTTTAAAGCATTTTGACATCATTCTGAAGATGCAGTTCCATTGCTCCCTAAGGCAGTCCAAGTCAGAGCTGCCACAACCCTGCCCACACCCCGAACAAGGCTTTGTGCTTCCTTTTTTGCAAGGGCTGGCAGCCAGCGACTGAGCCAAGAGAAAATAACAGATTAGCGACTTCTCTGCTAGATGAGCGATCTTAGCTCAGAAACCAGCCACTCAACCAGCAGTGTCGGCACAGCACACAGGCAAGACAATGGCAGCTCTGAGATTATTCAGACCGTCTTGTTAAGCTTCGCTCTGGCACAGACATAGCCAAAGCCAGCCTCGTGCCCACCATACCAGAGGTGCCCCGGCTCCCAACTCTTCCTGCACTACAGCTGCAATGAAAATACTTAACAGCAGCACGGGCAAAGTTCTAGTGACAAAGTCTTCTACACCAGGATGAGGGAACAACCCTAACCGTGTGGCAGAGCAATTACAGCATATTTTTTCCGTTCTTCCCCCCCAGTACGGAAAGGTCAGCGAGTTGATGTTTATGCAGATACATTTGGTGTGTTGATACAGCCCGAAGCAGTAAGTCCTTCAGCTGATCGATCTTCTCTTGGAGATTCTGCAATGATGATCTGATAATCACATTGAGCTGAAGGGGAAGAAAGAAATTTTTTTCAGTCCAAGTTATGTTTGCATAAAATGTACCTCTACTACATGCAGGTGACAATGTATTTAACTTCAGCTGTACTAGTGCGAAGGACACTGTTCTAAACCAAGAAAGCCTGCCTTAGAGCCACAAAGGGAACAATGCAGATAACTGGTTTGGACCGCTTACAAAATGATGAGAGAAGTAATACTAGTTTTGCAAACACAACTCCAATGTATTTGTGCCATTTAATATGGAGAGCTTTCTTTCAAGTCTTTATAAACACAATCCTTCATATGGGCAAAACATTTCAGCACATTTTCATATTTTCCAGTTAGCTTTCCAGTTCTTTCCTCTGATCTTTAATACAAATACAGGCGCCAGCTTCTTCTGCCACCAGGTTTCTTTCCCAGCTTCCAGGATTAGAGGGAAGGTTGCTACAGGTTCAGGCATTCACTCCACTGAACTCCTCCTGACTTTAAACTAAAGAGCCCAAAGAAATTCAGATTTCCTCCATTTCCCTTCTCGTCAGCACCTACAACTCCCAACCCTTTCTCACAACTGATCTGCCCAAGATTCAGACACATCTGTTCTCACTAAAAATGTAGTTAAGTTGTTGCATTCTTCCCTGCTGCAAGCAAGCCCAAGGCTTGCGGGAATCCTCCGCCTCTCTCCCCACCCCTTCCCAAGTTTAGCTGATGTTATCTTCTGGGGTTTTTTCCTCCTTAAAACATTCTTTCTTTTAATTCCCGTTATGTAGAACATACTAGGAAACAACATTGTAACTGCAATTAAGTATGCAAGTCATCCTAATTAAGACTTTATATGCTTCTTGTTTAGAAGCTATCAGCCCCGCTGTGGGTTACAATGGTTAGCAACCTCAGATGCTCTGTGCGACGAACCAGTAACAGCAAAGGACTATCTGCTACGGCTCTCATTCCTGCGTTCTTCAAGACGCAGAGGCAGCAGCCAGACACAGATGTCTCACTGAAAGGCCACTGTGCTGCCTAGAGCTATACCGCCCTCTGTATCCGCAGGCGGATGAACCGGGAGTTCCCCCAAAACACCCCACCTGATAGCATCAGAAGTTTAAATCTCTCTGACCAAGCAGGACGTGTTCTCAGATGCTACCAAATGCGACAACAGAAAGCAGATGCAGCCACAGCAAGGCAGTGTGAGAGTATGCAGCTGGGCAAAAAGCTGCAAAATCCACCTTCAGACCCAAAGCCGCCAATCACTAAGGCAACGTTCCCAAAGCCAGGATGGGATATAAGTGCTGTTAGGGAAGTTCAAGCCACTGCATACCCTCTAGCTCTGCAATCAGGTAATAAAAGGCCTTTTCATTTCCCACATACATTTCCTGCACTTATGTCCAGGTGGAGAACACTGCATTTAATCGGCCCAGAACAGCAAAGTACCGTAAGGTATATATGCCCAAGGAAGCCATCTCACATACAGACTACCTCTGCTACTCTGGCCAGAAACCGCAGTGCTATAACAAAAGATTGCACTTCCATTACAGGGGGAAAAAAAAAAAACAAAAAAATAAA